TCATTGGAGGTATATGCTGTGCTTTAATCTGCATTGGCCTCACCCTTTGGCGGTTCATCGACGCAAGGAAGTCTGCGAAGCAATTACGAGAAGTCGTCGCCGGAATTGGGTCGGCCGAGGGCGGCCTTACACTTGAAGGGGGAGTAGTTAACACATAACATTTAATATAGGGTATTTCATAAGTTTATAACCAACCCTCGCTATCGCGTGTTTCGTAAGTTAAGAAACAGCCCTCGCAATTGCGACACTGCATACTTTGTATCAGCGCGCTATAACTGCAATGGTCAGCGGCGGTAACCAGATACTTTTGTTTACTGCAAGAGTTTCCGTTATTGCCTAAGATTGCTGAGTCGGCTTGCCGACCATGACATTGTGGTGTGATGCGAGTTTTGGCTTAGCTTAAGTGAAATATTCTATGTAGCTAAAAATCAGTTTTGCATTGAAGTTTGAAGAATAAACCCGCACTACTCCGGCACACCGCCGTAATCAAATTGTTATATTTCTGATCATTGCTGAGCCACAAGGCCAGTTAATAGAAAAGGGGGTGAAGTCAAACCCTCCAACATAATCATCATAAGAAGATTATAATTACCCGACCAACGCTGGACCTGCCACCGACGCCTAGCTCATCGCTGGACCAGCAACTTATTGATTAAGACTATAAATACCCGATCAACGCTGGACCTGCCACCGACGCCTAGTTCATCGCTGGACCAGCAACATATTAATTTATATATATATATCTATATATATATTCATAATTCTTTTATTGGCGATCGATAAATATCGATTTGGTTTATATAGCATATCTCGTTGACAAACTTTGCTAATAATTCTATAACTGATCGCTATCTGCACTACTTGCTGGCAATCGATAAATATCGATGTCTGTTAAGTCGCTTGCTAATAATCGATATAAATCTGACTGATAAATATCTCTCCAGTAAAGAGGCACTATCGACTAGGAAAACCTACCACTTGTGGACTTGGCGTTCTGTTCGACGGAGGCAACTGGAGTTTGGATTCCCGTTGCGCTTCTGTGGCCATCCTCGTCCTCTGCCGGAGCAGGTGTGTCGTCTGCTATGGCCGAGCCAGTGACAACTGTGCTGGATAATTGACTACCTGTTGATGTAATGGACATGGCAATGTTGGGCTTCTCTATAAGGCGGCTCATGGCAGACTGCAATGGGAGAGAGGTAACACAGACTTTAATTTCAATTATGACTCCCGGTCGTATGCCTAAGCACTGATGCACTCCGACAGATCCCACAATCACTAAAAAGAGTAGCCAAAGTATTATGTTTGAGCTCAAGCTCTTATCAGCTTAAGGCGATAAGTCGAATCAATGGAAAAACTAGTAAGGCGAGAACTTTCACGACTGTTTCGTAACGAAACGAAACCATTTGTTAAATTTGTATTTTGGCATCGTTTCAAGAAAATGGAAAACAATTAAGATTTATGCAATCAATTGCGACAAAGATGAAATCTGTATCTGAACATTTGAAGTGTACTTTGCTTGGACAGCTACTGTTCAAAGACTGTTCGTTGATTAACCATTCTGATTAGATTATAACACGTTGAACACGTATCAGTTTACCTTTTGGGGTTTTATTTACAACAACAGTTGACACAAGTTGACAATAAAGAAAAGAAAATAAGCTGTTTTATTGCTTGCCACAGTTTTACTGTCACATCACAGAAGACAGTTTTCAGCTGTTACATATGCCATGAGAAAACCATAGTTCTCCAGATAAGAGTATAGAAACCTGTTATTCACTAAAAAATGTAAACAAGCCAGCAATAACAACAAATTATCACCAAACATCAATTATAACAAGCACATGTGCTGGCACACACCTCCCAAACGACTATTCTATATGGGTAGGTCACACATACTTATATATGGGCCTATTTTCTACGTATCGATGTGAAAAAGAGCAGCCGGGCGAATTTGGTTTCTAGAAGCGAATCGTTTCACCTTGAACACGTTTTGGCATTAGACAGAAACGAGCGTAGCTCATGATAAAAAATTCTTATATCTCTAATGATAAGATACAGCTTAGCGTACAGCAGCTGCCCGAGAGATAAAATTAAAACGGCCGTTCAATATATAAAGAAAAAAATGAAACAGACCTTGCTCTAAGCAAGAACTACGATTTAACTGTGCTTCTAGAATTTTGTGGACAACTCAAAAAATGGTTTAGACTAACAATATTATTTTACAATCAGAAGAAATGATTCTTGGACTTAAATATGTTTGAATTTTTCTAGGGAAATTAAGATTATCTTTTTTTTTTAAATTCCGCATGAAAGCTGTTCCAGTTTCAGGTATTTGGATGTATAAATTTCACGTGCTAGAAACTAACTAATTTAATTTTAATATTTATTATTTGTATATACAAAATAAAGCAGAACATTTTAATTTTGATATTTTTAGAAGACCTTGAAAATGTTATATTTAGATTGGACTGAGAACAGAAATATATTAATTAAAATATTTAGCTCAGATATTTAAAGTTGCATTTGCTGAAAATTCTACTAGATAAGGATTTCGTAGACAAATCATTTGTGTACCACTGTAAACTGGATGCTGGGAGGCAGCTGGTTGGTCGGTTAGATGGGTGAGATTTTGCACTAAGCCGGCAAAACGTATGTAAACAAGTTCGTTAAATGTTATTTGTTGTTTGCCATTGAGTCAAGGCTGTCGCTTAGTGATACACATATATATGTAAATGCATATATATTTATGTATATTTGCATGCGCAATTGAGTGTGGTTTATAAATAGATTCACTCATATTAGATTTGACGCTCGCTTTGTCTAATAGGAAGCATGTGGCAATAGCAATTCTAGTTCTGATTGGAATGGACTTTGCACTCGGCTCAATTTTGCTAGCCAACGCATGTATCACCTATGTAAATTTATGTGACATTAAAATATGTTTATTAAATTCAAAAATATACAAATATTAGTTTTTAATTATTACTTCGTTGCGTTTCGTTTACGTTTTGAGCAATTCGTTGTGATGCAATTCTGATTGGAATTGTCTGACCAGACAACGGGCACAATAAACAGCTGTTGCTTAACCGTATTTCACTTTTGGTTCACTTGATTCCTTTGTTATGCACCCCAACAGTGCGGCAACCCCCATACCCTTCACAGCACCCCACACATTCCAACAGAAATACATTTCATACGTTCTCTGTTTTGATTTTAATGCGTTAATTTATCACGTATTTGGTTGCCCACTTAGACACATATACACGCACACAAAGTCATATTATATAATTTGACAAATTTAGAGATTTTTAAAATGTGCTGCCTAGGCAATGACGATAACGCACCTTTGTTTTTGTTGTTAACAAAGATTTTTTGCGTATTCTTTTTTGACATGCAGCAGCAGCAACAACAACAACAACGCAATGTTGTTTTGCAGCGGCACGCTCATGCACTCACTAGCTGTAGCTAACAATTCGGAACGCCACAATCATTTATTTTGATTTCATTCACAACGCGTATTTTTTGTATTATTTAATACATAATAAGAATTCGCTGCGCGGCTTCGCCTTTCCGTCTTTTCTGACCATTTGACAAAAACAGAGAACTGTATGGGGTACTAGGGCTGCATCGTTGCCAAATTACAAAGTGCTGCCACATCGCTGAAATAGTGTTGCATTTATCATGGATCAGGCAGCACTAAACTGCAGCAGCAGCAACCAACTTCACGCGAGACGCACTTGGAGAAAAACAGCAAAATATCAAAGTGTAAAAATATACAAAAACAAAAAGGAAAACAATGAACGTATCGAACATAAATAATGACTTGCGATCCTATTCTCGACACTGGCTAACCGAGTTCATTGAGCAGTACCAAGAGGAGGAATGCCTGTGGCAGCCAAAACACCACGACTACAGCAATCACGCCGCCAGAAATAAAGCATACGACAAACTGGTTGAAAAACTAAAAGAAGTTGAGCCAAATCCAGATCGCGCCATGGTCGTTAGGAAGATCAACTCATTACGATCCGCGTTTCGTCGAGAATTTCGCAAATCCTCCTCCAAAACCGACTACGAGACGCGTCTCTGGTACTACGACAAGCTGCTCTTCATAGCAGACCACAAACCCAAGCGCCACTCAAACGAATTGACCGGCAAGCCCAAAAGAGAGCTGCAAATCAATTTTGACGATGACGACTCTATGGATTACGAGGAAGAATCCCATCATACGCCGCAGTCACAACATATTGAAACCATTGTGCCCAACCCCAGCGATGAAGTCGAGGCAGAGGTTGCCGCCGTCGCCGCCAACAATGTGGTGGTCAGTAGTCAGGGCGCCACGTTGAGCACCATCTCGGTAACACCTGCGGATTGTGTGACACTTGTAAAGGATGAGACGCATCAGACGCACAACGAGGTGGCAGAGGCACATCAGCGTTTAGTTGCACAGGCGAACGCTGCACAGTCTTCGTTAGCTGCTGCTGCAGCAGGCGGACATGCGGTCAAGGTGCTGGAGATAACATCGCTCGACTCCAATTCGCAGCGCGAGATACAACAGGTGCGTGTGCAAAATATTGCATATAACATAAACTCAATACTCTCTCTTCCTCTGCTTGGCAGGCTGTCAACTCACTCGAGCATCACCAACAGCAATTGCAGCACCTGCACCATCAGGCAAATGGACATGCCCAACCTGTACCGACCATACAGATTGGACGGGATCATTACCAGCCGCTGTTTGGAAGCGCAGCGACTACAGCGTATACAACCGCAGCGCCCGCCACCTCGCACCGGCATGAGGATGAATACGATGCAATTGGGGTAAATGTGGCCAGCAAATTGCGATCGATCAACCACACGCAACGCATCATTGCCGAGAAGCTCATCAGCGATGTCCTCTTCAATGCACAACTCGACAATCTCACAGTCAACTCGTCACTGACGCAATAATTAATTAGCTAATTAATTAATATTGTAAATTAGTTGCGGACGCTTTCAGTCTGTTTAATTTTATTTTACATAAGCATATATGTATATGTATTGTATGTACGTCGTCTGTTTTTGTGTTAGCTTGTATATTAACGTTTAAAGTTTACTGTAGATCTAATTACTGCATCAGTTGAATGCAATAAATAGTTTTTAACTAGTTTAACCCGAATACAATTTACAATTCACGCGCTCATTTCGAGTCGCTCTTCTCCGCAACGACGCCATGATCGCCCGTCAGTCGCTTCCACGCAAATTTAGCAAACTGCAAGATTATTTTATTTATATATATATATATATTTCTCATCTGATTTATCAGTTTTTGTTCCATTTACCGTAACGGGAGGCAAATCAATTTGTTCCTCGGCGGTCACCAGCTTTCGATTATCTTGTAAAATCGCCCAGCCGAAGTGCACGGCAATCAGGCTGGGTATCATGACAATAGCCACTAGGTTGCGGGACACAAAAGTGGGTTTTCGTGTCGTCGGCATTTTTATTTAACAAATTATGACAGGCTCCCGATTATTATTATTATTATTTAACATATTTGTGCATAGAGATGATAATGGTAATAAATCGATAACCAGCTTTCGATTACCTCGTGAATGCACTAAAAATGCCCAAGATATTTTAGTCGTAGTTGGCATTCCCATTATAATGGCGCTTAAATATTTACATTTAAATTATATAAAAAATTATTATTATTATTAGTTATACTTTTTGTTTAATTGTCTAGACTTAGGTAACCTTCTGTAGAACCAATTATTGTAGACTTTGTATTCAGTGTATGCAGTTTTATAAGCAACAGGTGCACAAAGGTGTCAAAATGTTAATGTCCCTAGACAATTTACATAAATATAAGTGCAAGTGCACAAACATTTGCATTCATTGCTTAACGTTCTAGCTGAAGTAATCATAAATGTTATTCACATTTTATTTAATATATATTTCATATCAATTAAAGCTTTTCGGTTTACCAATTATTTGTTCGTCTGTAAATTTACCTTTAACTAAATCATTGTCAGTTGTGCACACAAATACGCACATACACACACATAACTACATATATTATGTAATTAGATAGCCAAGTGTCTTTGTTCCCATCACTAGTCACCTTTACCTTTGCCCTCGGCCTATCTGAATATGTCGCTGTCCCACTCAGTCTGCCTACAGATGAAACATGGAGGAGGAGCATAGAACACGTAAACAATGAAATTTCTGTGTAAAGTACAAGGTACATTCGAGTTCACAGTGGGGCTCGAGCGCATAGCAGGGTGTGTGTCGCCGTAGTGTTTTCGTACAGCCAACTGAGCCAGCATTAAAAATAAATACAAATATAAAATTTATATAATGCAGGCAGCGGCACTTGCACTGTCTCCGTTCAGAGTTAGTTTAGGCAGAGCTCGCGGCCTATTCACAACAAAGCAAGCGCGACTCACTGATTGACCAAAAGAAGAAAAAACGTATAGAAACGTAACGAAACGAATAAGAGAAATAAAACTCAAGTGAATAACGATAAGTGAGTTACGCGCTTGTTGCTCTTGTTGTTGCGTGCTCCTTACAATTTCTATGTTTTTATTTCTATGTTCATATTCACTTGTATCAACTTTCCATTTCCTATTTGTTCCTGTGCCTTGTGCCATGTGCCAGGTCAACCCAGTGATGCGTTTGCTAAAATCGATAGTCGCCTGCGTGCGTGTCCAACTGGAAGCCATTTTGCTGGACGGGTAAGTGGGTTAGCCGAGTGCTTTGGAACGGTTTGTCGAATCGGGCTTATCGACTGAATACCGCGAGTATTTGTAGTGTTTCATTAAGGCCAAGACGAAAGCCATCCAGCCAATAATGTTGACAAATAAGGCCAATGTAATAAGCATTAGCGTAATAAATATCTCTCGCAGCGTACGGTCGACCCATGGTACATAATTCCGTTGAAGCTGATCATATGTGTAAGTGTATGTGTGTGTGTGTGTGTGTGTGTGTGTGTGTGTGTGTGTGTGTGTGTGTGTGTGTGTGTGTGTGTGTGTGTGTGTGTGTGTGTGTGTGTGTGTGTGTGTGTGTGTGTGTGTGTGTGTGTGTGTGTGTGTGTGTGTGTGTGTGTGTGTGTGTGTGTGTGTGAGTGTGTGTTTGTGTGTGTGTGTATGTATGTATGTATGTGCGAGTGTATGACAGTGGGACGATTGCGTAGTATAGATAAATCGTATCTCTAAGTAGTCCTCCTTACCGGCATATCAAGTAAACTTGCAGCTGCGATTATTGTCGTATATACGTTATCGCCAATTGGAAAGAAACGTTAGAAAATCAATAAATTCATACTGTACAAATTTTAACTTTGTGTATACACTGTTCAAAATCGTATACGCTTCATACAGGTATATTTGTTATCGTGTTATATATAAAAGAAATGTTTACGTTATCCTTAAATTTTTTACAATCTTGTTTCTTGGCTTTGGATGCATTACGTTAAGCATAAGTATCGGGATTTTAGCTGATTACTTATGAGAACAAAGCATAGTAGGCCTGATAGTGCCTGAGCTATGATCTTATATGAAAACGAACACAGTCTTCCAGCTAGTCGACTTCGACATTTCCCCTTATAGAGTTTCAGGTTCATAACTTTTAAGCTTTAGTCACTCAGCTTCAAATATATCTAGATAGATTCGGCTATTTGTAGAGATCAAGTGTTAAGCGGCACAGTGTAGTCCGTAAATGTTCGACTTTAATGTAAAGCTATAAAGATACAAAAATATTTTTCTTAATGAATGTACATTTTTTGTGAGCTGTTTTCCTGATGGACGTAAGGCATGTGAACTATGCTTTAAGCTCTTTACTGAAATTCCATTTCATGCTAGAAAGCTCTGTGGGTAAACTTTGTAGTATAATACGATTCTGGGTATGGCATCCTTTACTGAATGATGCGCTGACTGCGAAGCTCTGCAATTTGCTCAGCTCCATAGCCCAGAAGTTTGGTGAGCACTTCGTCTGTGTGCTCTCCGAGCATGGGTGGAGCAGTGCGTGCATCGTTGCGTGCTTCACTGTACACGACTGGGGGACCCACGACCTTGACGCTGCCATCGCGCGGATGTGGCAGAGTCTTGACCAGGCCTATGGCCTGGACGTGCTCATCCTCGAACACCTCGCGTATACTGTTGACGGGGCCCACCACAAAGGAGGCGCCCTCAAAGAGGCGCATCCAGTTTTTGGACGAGTCGCGTGCCAAGATCTTGGCCAGCAGATTGATTAGCTCTTCGCGATTCTTTACGCGATCCTTGTTGGTCTTGAATTTGACATCGAGCGACACTGGCTCAATGTTCAGACGGCTGCACAGCTCCACGAACTGGGCATCACTGCCGGCGCCCAGGGTCAGGTAGCCATCGGCCGTCTTGAAGCTCTGGTAGGGCACAATGCTGGAATGGGCTGTGCCCCAGCGCTTGGCCTCTGTGCCGGCGTTCAGATAGTTGCTGGCCACATTGATCAGCAGCGAGCAGCACGTGGACAGCAGGTTCACGTCGATCTTCTGACCGCGCTGTGTGCGCTCCCGCTGCAGCAGGGCGGCCAGAATGGCGCCGTGCGCATATAAACCCGTTGCCACATCTGTAACTGCCACGCCCACCTTGCTGGGCGGTCCGTCACGTTCGCCCGTTATATGCAGCAGGCCGCCCATAGAGGAGGCAATCACATCGTAGCCCGGACGCTTGGCATAGGGACCCACCGACCCATAGCCACTGATGGTGCAGTAGATCAAACGGGGATTCAGCTGTCGCAGCTGCTCATAGCCAAGATCGTAGCGTTCCAGTGTGCCGGGCACATAGTTCTCCACCAGCACATCGCACTTGTCAACCAGCTGTCTCATCAGCTCCTTGCCCCGCTTGAGATCAATGCAAACGCTCTGCTTGTTGCGATTGGGCGCTAGAAAATAGGCCGCATCGCCGCACTCCTCAAGAAACGGCGGTCCCCATTTGCGCGCTTCATCCCCAAAATGGGGACGCTCCACCTTTATCACCTCGGCGCCCAGATCAGCCAGCACCATCGTGCAATAGGGTCCAGCGACAATGCGCGTGAGATCTAATATACGCACGCCTCGCAGCGGATGACGTTCATCTATGGAAGAAGCCTCAAGGTTATCGTTGCTGTTGTTATGCTTGCTGGCAGCGGCAAAGCTTCGCAAACTTTGACGCGTTGCAGCAGCAGCGGCAGCGGCAGCGCGTGAGAGTCGTAAACGTTGTAACCACATAGCCATAGAGAGTAACTGTTTACTTCCAATCAATTGTTATTCGCTTTGCTATTGACAGTCACTTTCTCTGTTGTTGCTGTTGTTGTTGATGTTTTCGTTCTTCTGCGCTATGCGAGTATTCTTAACGGAAAGTTTTCCAGGCAACTGGTGAGCAGCCACTGAATCAAGCACAGCTGACGCGTGAGAGCTTTCTTAAAACATCGCCCACTATTCGCTCTTAGCACAACGTGCTCCCGTTCTCTCTCTCTCTCTCAGTTTCTCTTAGCTATACGTATTTTTTAGCATATACGATAACAGCATGTTTATCATTTAAGTGTAGATAACTAACTAAGCTGGACATATATTTTATTGGCGCTCTTTGCTGTTCAAGTAGAGTTCGTTTCCCTCCGTTTGCTGCTCTTGGAATGTTCTTCAATTATTACTCAACTATTTTTACATCTTCCGCTATATTACCATTTACCTTGGTACTTTCCCGCATTGAACTAAAAATAAAAAATAATAAATGCAATATAAAACCTGCTTCGTGTTTTTTCCCCCATCAAAGAGCAAAAGTCCTACTCGAGAAAAAAGAAGCAGAAAAAAATGTAAGTTTTGTTTACTTAAACATTTTGCGTGAGCTTAAGTTGACTGATTGTAATTTAAGTCATTAGGAAGCTTCTAAATTTTGGCACTCCCAAAGTACTTTAATTATATACAATTGTTTGTAAACAACGCTCTAAATTGGTCGGCTTAAAGCTATAAACTCTAATAGTTGCGCAATTAAAAAACAATTTTTACCTCGTAGACAGCTTAATAGTAAACATTTAAAATATTTACAGCACAAAAAAATTGCTAAATTGCCATTAAATATTCGTCAGGCATGAGCGCCCAAATATGTATATCTGCCCCTAACATCTCATACTCCCACGTTTCAGCGCTTATAAATATTTGAGCTTACGTATATATACAGATGCATTCATATTACTTATTTGTTTATTTATTTTAGCAGAAACAGCAGAATTCCATATTCAACTGAGAATATTTTTGCCCTTTTCTCTCGATGATCTCACTTTCAGTTTCTAAGCCTTTTTCTTATACACGTCATTCTAATAACTGTCGATTGGCTAAAAGCTGTATAATTAACAAACAGTTCAAAGGAACAACTTGTCTCAGTTTCTTCGCACTGCACTAATAACAAGAAATGCAAATAAATCGAAGATCAAAAGTTCGGCTAATTGTAGGTTAGCTGGAAGCATATAAAGTAATTAGCCTTACTGACGCACCAATCTATAAAGATATATAACAATATATAATTACATGGAAAATTAAATTCTAACTTCTTCTCAAATGTAACGAGCTTACATCAAGCTTAAATTATTGTATAATTCCATCTTACTTATGGTTTATTCAGGGCATCCGTTTGAGTTCTTTGAATTTTCGCTGAGTCCATTTGCGCAGAGCGAATGGGACTCACAAATGAACTATAAAGGCACATGCACTTAAGAGCGGACGCAGCTTAAAGAGAAAGCGTCACGCAGCAGACGAACCGGTTCAAGCTTTCGGCTCAGCGCTGTGAGCGCAGCTAACGGGCGAGCCAAGCAGAGCTTTAAATGTTATGCGCTGCGCTAGCTACTCATTTATTTGCTTAGCGCGCGTCGTTCGCATCGGTTCGCTCGTTCAATTCGCTTCAAGTCGTTTCAATTCGCTGCGATCGGTTACAAATGTAATAGACCCCACAACAGTAACAACAAAAACAAAAACAAAACAAAACCAAAAACATAGTGTAACAAAATGAAAGCCAGTGATACGGTACGCATGCGTTTGCAGCGCATACAAATTCGTCTAGAAAAATGCAATCGCTGCCGCAACTAAATTGAGATGCAGTCGCGCTTAAGAAAGTGTTTTGCCAACAGCTATTAGCCAACTGACCAAAAATAGAGAAAAATAGTAAAAACAGAAAAAAAAAGTATTAAGCCATCGCCAGTTTTCGAGCCAAAACAACGAATTCGAATTCGAGCTCGACTCGTGTATTGAGTTGTGCAAGCGCAAATCGCAGCAGCCGCCGCAGTCGCTGCCTACGTCGCCGTCGACGTCGCGGTCGCAGTCACTGCAATTGCAGACCAGCTGCATATTGCACAATCCTTTCGCTTGTTGGCCAACCTGTTCGCTTGTGTCTGCTGGATACCATCTATATAAATATATATATATATATATATATATCTAGATATATATATACCTATTTGAAATAATTTCACTTTGAAGTCGTCTAACGCAAAGCCGTCAAAATTGCTGTCCTACTGTGTTCCAGGATCCTGGGGTACATCATGCGCCGCTTCCTGCGCTCGGCCATGATTGTCTTCAGTTGGTTTGTGGTGCCCTATAGCCGCTACACCAACATCAAGGTGATACGGCGCAAGTTGCCGCCCATACGCAGTCATCTGCTGGAGATACCTGCCGTCGATCTAGCCAAGCTGATTCGCAACAAAAAGGTAAGTACAACTTATTACACGCACACACGCACACATGTGTGTGTATGCATATGTGCATACATAGATACATAGACGCACCTTAAAATTGGCAATATCTTGTAAAATATCAATAGACAGAGGGTACAGCCTCGGGTTATGGTTTGCTGCTGAAGCAGGGGTTGAGGCGTGTTTTTTTTGGGGCTTTCAATCCACAGCTCACTCAATGCATATGCCAATCTAACGACAAGAGAGGCCACTCGCAGCGCTTGCCACATCTGTCAGCCACTGCGGTAAAGCTGAGGCAATTTGTTGTTGTTGACCAACACTGGTCAGCTTAGCTGACTCCCAGGTGCAACCTGGGCTCACCTTTAACATCAAGACATTGCTTTAATAAGCCAAATTTTTTTTTGTTTTGTGTTGAACAAAATTTGACTAAAAAGAATCAAATAAAAAAAATTAATAAATAAAAATTAAAATATATATATATATATATATAACTATAAATATTAAATTAAATAAATTTAGATTATGTTATAAATTAAATATAAAATATAATTTAATTAATTAATTTGTGTTGAACAAAATTAGACTAAAAAGTATCAAATAAAAAAAAATTAAAAAAAAAATTAGAAAATCAATAAATTCATACTGTACAAATTTTAACTTTGTGTATACACTGTTCAAAATCGTATACGCTTCATACAGGTATATTTGTTATCGTGTTATATATAAAAGAAATGTTTACGTTATCCTTAAATTTTTTACAATCTTGTTTCTTGGCTTTGGATGCATTACGTTAAGCATAAGTATCGGGATTTTAGCTGATTACTTATGAGAACAAAGCATAGTAGGCCTGATAGTGCCTGAGCTATGATCTTATATGAAAACGAACACAGTCTTCCAGCTAGTCGACTTCGACATTTCCCCTTATAGAGTTTCAGGTTCATAACTTTTAAGCTTTAGTCACTCAGCTTCAAATATATCTAGATAGATTCGGCTATTTGTAGAGATCAAGTGTTAAGCGGCACAGTGTAGTCCGTAAATGTTCGACTTTAATGTAAAGCTATAAAGATACAAAAATATTTTTCTTAATGAATGTACATTTTTTGTGAGCTGTTTTCCTGATGGACGTAAGGCATGTGAACTATGCTTTAAGCTCTTTACTGAAATTCCATTTCATGCTAGAAAGCTCTGTGGGTATACTTTGTAGTATAATACGATTCTGGGTATGGCATCCTTTACTGAATGATGCGCTGACTGCGAAGCTCTGCAATTTGCTCAGCTCCATAGCCCAGAAGTTTGGTGAGCACTTCGTCTGTGTGCTCTCCGAGCATGGGTGGAGCAGTGCGTGCATCGTTGCGTGCTTCACTGTACACGACTGGGGGACCCACGACCTTGACGCTGCCATCGCGCGGATGTGGCAGAGTCTTGACCAGGCCTATGGCCTGGACGTGCTCATCCTCGAACACCTCGCGTATACTGTTGACGGGGCCCACCACAAAGGAGGCGCCCTCAAAGAGGCGCATCCAGTTTTTGGACGAGTCGCGTGCCAAGATCTTGGCCAGCAGATTGATTAGCTCTTCGCGATTCTTTACGCGATCCTTGTTGGTCTTGAATTTGACATCGAGCGACACTGGCTCAATGTTCAGACGGCTGCACAGCTCCACGAACTGGGCATCACTGCCGGCGCCCAGGGTCAGGTAGCCATCGGCCGTCTTGAAGCTCTGGTAGGGCACAATGCTGGAATGGGCTGTGCCCCAGCGCTTGGCCTCTGTGCCGGCGTTCAGATAGTTGCTGGCCACATTGATCAGCAGCGAGCAGCACGTGGACAGCAGGTTCACGTCGATCTTCTGACCGCGCTGTGTGCGCTCCCGCTGCAGCAGGGCGGCCAGAATGGCGCCGTGCGCATATAAACCCGTTGCCACATCTGTAACTGCCACGCCCACCTTGCTGGGCGGTCCGTCACGTTCGCCCGTTATATGCAGCAGGCCGCCCATAGAGGAGGCAATCACATCGTAGCCCGGACACTTGGCATAGGGACCCACCGACCCATAGCCACTGATGGTGCAGTAGATCAAACGGGGATTCAGCTGTCGCAGCTGCTCATAGCCAAGATCGTAGCGTTCCAGTGTGCCGGGCACATAGTTCTCCACCAGCACATCGCACTTGTCAACCAGCTGTCTCATCAGCTCCTTGCCCCGCTTGAGATCAATGCAAACGCTCTGCTTGTTGCGATTGGGCGCTAGAAAATAGGCCGCATCGCCGCACTCCTCAAGAAACGGCGGTCCCCATTTGCGCGCTTCATCCCCAAAATGGGGACGCTCCACCTTTATCACCTCGGCGCCCAGATCAGCCAGCACCATCGTGCAATAGGGTCCAGCGACAATGCGCGTGAGATCTAATATACGCACGCCTCGCAGCGGATGACGTTCATCTATGGAAGAAGCCTCAAGGTTATCGTTGCTGTTGTTATGCTTGCTGGCAGCGGCAAAGCTTCGCAAACTTTGACGCGTTGCAGCAGCAGCGGCAGCGGCAGCGCGTGAGAGTCGTAAACGTTGTAACCACATAGCCATAGAGAGTAACTGTTTACTTCCAATCAATTGTTATTCGCTTTGCTATTGACAGTCACTTTCTCTGTTGTTGCTGTTGTTGTTGATGTTTTCGTTCTTCTGCGCTATGCGAGTATTCTTAACGGAAAGTTTTCCAGGCAACTGGTGAGCAGCCACTGAATCAAGCACAGCTGACGCGTGAGAGCTTTCTTAAAACATCGCCCACTATTCGCTCTTAACACAACGTGCTCCCGTTTTCTCTCTCTCTCAGTTTCTCTTAGCTATACGTATTTTTTTAGCATATACGATAACAGCATGTTTATCATTTAAGTGTAGATAACTAACTAAGCTGGACATATATTTTATTGGCGCTCTTTGCTGTTCAAGTAGAGTTCGTTTCCCTCCGTTTGCTGCTCTTGGAATGTTCTTCAATTATTACTCAACTATTTTTACATCTTCCGCTATATTACCATTTACCTTGGTACTTTCCCGCATTGAACTAAAAATAAAAAATAATAAATGCAATATCAATCGCGATCAGTCGTTCGACCTGTAAAGACGTGAATTCGAACAGCCTTCGCTTAAGCTCTACTGCTGCAGAGTTCTAAAAATAGAACTTTGCGGTGCATTCTTCAACGCAACAGCAACAAAAACCGCACACGCAGCGTTTTCTTATCGCTTGCTTCCGCGTAACTCAATTGCTTTAATTGCAATTTACGAAATTTCGTCGCTTGGCGCGAGTGCGCCTGCACTCAAAAGCACAATCCGCGATGACATCTAATGTCAATAACCTCGCTACAGCTGTAAAGGTAAATGCAGAAATGCAAGCCCAGCTTAACGTTGTGATGGCAAATAGGCAAGCCTCCATCATGCCAATAAACTCAAAAATAGATATCGCCTCCGTGCAAGGCATCACTAACAACAAAAACACGAAACGTAAACAGCCAAATTCACCAAAAACCATCAAGAAAAGGCTCATCTTCGACGAACCAAGCACCAGCAATGCAGCATTAATATCAGAAAATCGATTTTCACTGCTCGTAGAAGAAGATGAAGACTACAGCGAATCACCTGTAGCTCCAGAAGCCCCAGTATTGACCGACCAGCAAACTACTCCGAAACCTCGTCCGCCCCCCATATGGTGTCCAAACATCAAGTCTGTGGCCCTACTTCAACAGATAATAGATAAAGTAATTGATGCTAAATCATACGTAATTAAGCCAAAGAAGAATAACATAGGTGTATTAACCCAATGCAGTGAGGACTATCGCAGAGTTATAGACCACTTTACTAAGCTGGAATTGGAGTTCCACTGCTACCAGCTTAAGGAGGACAAACCATATAGAGTCGTGTTCAAAGGGCTTCACTCCAGCACTGATACAACACTAATTAAAAAGGAATTGGAAACCAAAGGCCACACAATTACAAATGTGCACAACCCACTGAGCCGTATGGACAAAACACCGCTAAATATATTTTTTGTTGACGTGGCTCAGGCCCCCAACAACAAAGAAATTTTGGACATTCGAGTTGTCTGCAGGCAACGCTGCACAGTGGAACTGCCAAGAAGATACAACGACCTGACACAATGCCATCGCTGTCAAGAATTTGGACACACACAACGCTACTGCCACAAAGCTCCCAGATGTGTGCGTTGCGCCGGGAAACACGCATCCAAAGACTGCACCCGCGAAAAGGACCAGGCACCAACTTGTGTGCACTGTGAGTTACAGCACCCAGCCAACTATAAGGGCTGCCAAGTATACAAGCGGTTGCGCAAATTGCAATCCCCAGCACAAAAAAGGAGTCCCACACAAACACCGTCTACGGGTCCGAGTACTGCTTCCGAAATTACAAGGCCCCGGAGCATTACCCAAGCCACGAGCTTTGCAACGCCTATTAGTGGTGTTTCTTACGCACAGGCCGCTAGAGGTGGACCGTCAAATAAGAATACCACAAGTGACACTTTGTTCACTGAAATGCTTCAGCAACAACAACGTCAGTTTGACGCAATTAATGCCGAGCTCAAAGCGATGCGAGAAGTACAATCCCAACAAGCAACCATGCTAAACAGTTTAATGGCCATCATAACCAAGCTTGCCTACAAATAATGGCTTTACGTGTGGGTATCTGGAACGCCAATGGCCTGAGAAACAAGACTCAGGAACTGGCTGCGTTTCTCTCACAAGAAAACATAGATATAATGTTAATAACAGAAACTCATGAGTGCCCCACTACACAAATTTTCGGATACGAACACTATCAGGCTCATGGTGAAGGAGCAAACTGCTTTGGTGGATCCTCAATCCTCATACGAGCAACAATACCGCATACACCTTTACTGCCAATTTGCAACGCAACAATGCAGGTCTCAGCCATCACCCTGCCTACGTCTATTGGAGCGATCGAAGTTGCGTCAATTTATCTTCCGCCAAACACTGGTCTGTGTGATCATCACATGGAACAGGTTCTAGGCCAAAGGTTGAATAAGACCCTCATCGGCGGCGACTGGAATGGATGGCACCCATTTTGGGGAAGCAATAG